CCGTCTACTCTGCAATACACGGAGTCGTCACTGAGTCAGACCATCAAAGTTACAGCCAGTAAGACTCCATGTCTACTCTGCAATACACGGAGTCGCCACTGAGTCAGAATGGGCTTGATGGCTACTAAGAACCACTACCACCTTGGCAGACGAAACCTCAGTGCAGTGGGTGGGGATGGGGAAAGACATGTATACTTACTGGACTTCCTGTAAGTTGTTCACTAAGGGAGTTAGATTTGGCACGAAGAGTTGCCTCCCTGAAAGCAAATAAAACATATCTTGAGATAAAAACATAGCCCATAATCAAAACTCAAGATTAAACTAAGTAAACATACAGCTTTTGAAAATATTTGTCAATTTAATGGCTATAAAAACACAATTTTCACTCTTCCTTAGTTTGCATAATCTTTGAATGCTAGTCAAGATGAACAATTTTCTATCAAAATATTTATTTGGAATAAAGAAGACAAAGAAGAGTTGATGCTTTTGAGTTGTGGTGTTGGTGAAGAATACTGACAGTACCATGGACTGCTAAAAGAACTAACAAATCTATCCTGGAATAAGTGCAACTGGAATGCTCCTTGAGAAGTGAGAATGGCCAAACTTCATCTCACCTACTTTGGTTATGTCAGAAGGGACCATTCTCCGGAGAAGGATATCACGCCTGGTAAAGTGGAGGGTCAACAAAAAAGAGGAAGGCCCTCAACAAGATGGACTGACACAGTGGCTGCAACAATGGTCTGAGAGCCAGGTTTGTGAGGCTGGCACAGGACTGGGCAGTGTTTTGTTCTGTTGTACATAAGGTCACCATGAGTTGGAGACGACGTGACGGCACCTAACAACAACAACAAACAACATTTATTCACATATTTTTCTTGGGTATGTATTTTATATTTATGCCCTTTGTCCAATTTTCTTGCTGTTTTCTGGAAATTATTATGTATATATCTTAGTACTTTTATGTTGCTTCTGTTAGGTGTTGCTGAGTTGATTCTGACTCACGGCGATACTGCGTCCAACAGAAAAAAACCCTGCCTGGTCCTGCACCATCCTCACAATTGTTGCTATGCTTGAGCCCATTGTTGTAGCCACCGTGTCAATTCCTCTCATTGAGGATCTTTCCCTCTTTTCTCTGACACCATTTTACTAAGCATGATATCCTTCTCTAGGGACTGGTACCCTCTAACAACATGGCCAAAGTATGTGAGATGAAATCTGATCATTCTCACTTTTAAGGAGCATTCCAGCTACACTTCTTCCAGGGCAAATTTGTTCGTTCTTCTGGCAATCCATGGTATTTTCAGTAATCTTCACTAACACCACAATTCAAAGGCATCAATTCTTCTTCAGTCTTCCTTATTCACTATCAAGCTTTCACATGCATATAAGGCAACTAAAAATAACACGGCTTGGGTTGGGCCCACCTTAGTCTTCACAGTGACATCTTTGCTCTTCAAACTTTAAAGAAGTCTTTTGCAGCAGATTTGCCCAGTGCAATATGACATCTGATTTCTGGATAGCTGCTTCCATGGGTGGTGATTGTGGGTCCAAGTAAAAGGAAATCCCTGACAACTTCAATCTTCTCTCCATTTATTGTGATGCTGCTTATCGGTCCAGTTGTGAGCATTTCTATTTTCTTTATGTTGAGCTGTAATGCATATTGAACACTGTAGTCTTTGATGTTCATCAGGAAGTGCTTCATTTTCAGCAAGTAAGGTTGTGTCATCTGCATATCGCAGGTTGTTAATGAGTCTTCCTCCAATCCTGATGCCACATTCTTCTTCATGTAGTCCAGCTTCTCGGATCATGTGCTCAGTATACAGATTGAATAAGTATGGTGAAAGGATATGACTCTGACGCACACCCTTCTTGATTTTAAACCATGCAGTATACCCTTGCTCTGTTCAAACAATTGCCTCTTGGTCTATGTAACGGTTCCTCATGAGCACAATTAAGTGTTCTGGAATTCCCATTCTTCAAATGTTATCCATAATTTATTATGATCCACAGAGTCAAATGCCTTTTGTATAGTCAGTAAAACACAGGTAAACATCTTTCTGGTATACTTTTCTTTCAACTAAGATTTGTCTGACATAAGCAATGATACCCTTCATTCCATATCATCTTCTGAATCCAGCTTGCATTTTTGAAGTTCACTATCAATAGACTACTGCAACCATTTTGAATTATCTTCAGCAAAATTTCATTTGTGTGTGATATTAATGATATTGTTCAGTAATTTCCACATTCTGTTGAATCACCTTTCTTTGGAATGGGCACAAATATGGATCTCTTACAGTTGGCTAGCCAGGTACCTGTCCTCTAAATTTCCTGGTATAGATGAGTAAGCGCCTCCAGCACTGCATTCATTTGTTGAAACATCTCAATGGGTATTCTGTCAATTTCTGAAGCCTTATTTTTCACCAGTTTCTTCAGTGAAGCTTAGACTTCTTCCCTCCATACCATTGGTTCTTGATCACATGCTACCTCCTTAAGTGGTTGGATGTCGACCAACTCTTTTTGGTACAGTGACTGTGTATTCCTTCCATCTTCTTTTGATGCTTTCTATACTGTTCAATATTTTCCCCATAGAATCCTTTAATATCGCAACTTGAGGCTTGACTTTTCTCTTCAGTTCTTTCAGCTTGAGAAATGTCAAGCGTGTTCTTCCCTTTTGGTTTTCTAATTCCAGGTCTTTGCACATTTCATTATAATACTTTACTGTGTCTTCTAGAGCTGTTCTTTGAAATCTATTCAGCTCTTTTATTTAATCAACTTTTCCATTTGCTTTAGCTACTCTCTGTTTAAAAGCAAGTTTCAGAGTCTATTCTATTTGGTCTTTTCTTCCTTTTCTGTCTTCTAATAACCATTTGCTTTCTTCATTTATGATTATTCTTGATATTATCCCACAAGTTGTCTGGTCTTTGATCATTGGAATCAAGGTCATATTTTGGTTCCCATGGATTTGTTTTAATTTTCTTCAGCTTCAACTTGGACTTCCATATGAGCAATTGATGGTCTGTTCCACGGTCAGCTCCTGGCCTTATTTTGACTAATGATGTTAAGCTTCTCCATTGTCTCTTTCCTAGTAGCTCTGATGATGTAGTGTGTAAGGCATTTGACTGCTAACCAGAAGGCTGGCAGTTCAATCCCACCAGCCACTCCTTAGAAGAAAGGTTGGGCAACCTACTTCTGTGATACTGCCTTGGAAACACAAGAAGGGGTCGCTATGAGTCAGATCTGACTCAGTGGCAGTGTGTTTAGTGTGTATTGTTTCTTTCCACAGATGTAGTCAACCTGAGTTTTGTGTATTCCATCTGATGAGGTCCATATGCATAGTCACCATTTATATTGCTGAAAAAGGGTATTTGTAATGAATAAATTGTTGGTCTTGCAAAATTCTATCATGTGATCTCCAGGATCATTTCTATCGCCAAAGCCGTATTTTACAACTACTGATGTTTCTTCGTTTTCAACTTTTGCACTCCGATCACCAGTAATTATGAGTACATCCTGACTGTATGTTTGGTCATGTACTTTTACAGAATATAAATATTAATCACTTATCAGAGAAACCTGATGCAAATATTTTCCTTCATCCAATTTTTCTTTCAGTTATTTAAAATTATTTTAGTTCTCAACTATATCTCTATTTCCAAGTACCTCTAAAAATCACTTTCATGAACAATAAAAGGTAGACAGAACCTCAGTATCTTACCCTGATTTAAAAGGCACCAGTGTGGGTGGTGACAGAGCAGGATCAGCAGAGAGGCTGTCAGCACCAGGTGTGGGAGACGGGGCCGCAGAATCTCGAGAACCAACACTGTGCCCATCAGAGCCAGAATCTCTGGCAAACTTCACCTGGAAAAGATCCACCACAGCTAGAAGAGACTATATAAAAGATACTCTTCCCACTTTACTCTCCTTTCTTTTTATTTATTCTTTATTAAACAAGTCATTATTACTTGTTCATTGTAGGAAAACTAGAAAATGTTGGGATAAGAAGAAAGAAAACAAGATAATAATAACCTGAAATTAAAGTGCCAAGCAGTAACATTTTTAGAATTTCAGATATATTATTTCACATTTTCTGAGATATACTCATACACATATTCATACATCCATATACACACACACATACATATATACATATACATACATATACACACCATACATACATATACCTACTCCTTGCTTATCAACATGGTTAGGTTCCAAAGACCAGTTTGTTAAGTGAAAGTCAACATTATGCAAAAATGCAGCCAAATAAAAGACAGGCATATGAGTTGAACATTTACCTGAGGTAGACACAGTCCTTGGAGAGAATAATCATGGGAGAAAGAAGGGCTGCTTATGCACAGGGAGATAGCTTAGGGGGCAGGAGTGCATGGAGGGATGGACACTGGGAAGAGGTAACTATGGGGAGGAAGTGGGGAGGAAGTGGGAGGAGAGCTGTTGCACTGTGGTAAACTGTGGTCAATGTCATGGACAAAGTGTATGTGAACTGCTGTATGGAAAGTGAATTTGCTCTGTAAATTTTCACCCAAATCACAACAAAAAAAAAAAAAAAAAGAAAAAGAAAGCATAGATTACTAGATGCCACCTCCAGAAGTAAAAAAAAAAAAGAAAAAAAAACATTATGCAAAAATGGGGGATGATGACATCACTACATAAATGTATGTATATAGAGAGAGAGATTAAAAAAACAATTCTATTGCCACCAAAGTCAATTCAGACTCATAGCAACCCAAAGGACACAGGACAACTGCCCCTAGGGTTTCCAAGGCTATAAATCTTTACAGAAGCAGACTGCCTCATCTTTCTCCTGCATAGCGGCTAGTAGAACTACTAACCTGTCAGTCTGCAGTCTAGCACTTTAACCACTTTACCACAAGTGATATATATATATACAAAACAAACCCATTGCCATTAAATCAATTTCAATTCATAGAGATTCTTATTGGGTTTACAAGGCTGTAAATCTTTACATAAGTAGATTGCCTCATCTTCCTCCTGTGGAGCAGCTGGTGGGTTTGAACCACCAACCTTCTGGTTAGCTGCCAAATGCCTTACTCACTATGCCAACAGAGCTCTGTTACATATACACATATATACATATATACATATAGAAAGAAAGATGTAAGACTGCATGCACAAACACAAGCACACACATGAGAGAAACCACACTATCCATACTGTTCTGTAACTCACTTCTACCATTTAACAATAGATTTTGGATATTCTTTAAAATGTCTACATAATAGTCTTCTGCATGAAAAAAAAAAAACATTATTTAACCTATCTATTAATGATGGACATTCAGCTTGTTTCCAGTTTTTTATTATCACAAAAAATGTAACAGAGGAAGGAAGAAAAGGTATCTTTACATACATATGTGAATATAGTGACAGGATAAATGTAGTATGGAATCACTAATTACACTGGGCATGAATCACTACTTTATGGACAAAATAAAAAATGTGGAGAAGTAATATGCTCTAATTCACAATCTCTTCTAGACTCTGTATAGAGAACCAAGAAGAACATAAAGTTGTTGCTCTTTCCACCATTTCTACTTAAAAAACAAAATAAAACTATGTCTTCAGAATCTGATTTTCAACAATAATTATTTATTCATTCTACTTAATTAGCAAAGGAGCTCTGGTGGCATAGTGCCTAAGGCATTTGACTGCTAACCAGAAGGCTGGCAATTCAAACCCACCAGCCACTCCTCGGAAGGAAGATTGGGCAATCTACTTCAGTAAAGATTTACTACCTTGGAGACCCAAAGGGCATCACTATGAGTCACAATCGACTCGATGGCAGTGAGTTTCACTTTTTTTTTAAATTAGCAAAGGGGTACTCAGAGGACCACCAAACGACACAGCACAGTTTCACTCACCCGCCTAACCTCCACCTCGAACACCAGGATTGAGTCCGTGGCTTGAGTCCATCCTATTACTCCTTCGGAGCCGGCAGCACAGGATGGAGGGATAATGAGCAGCCGCTTCCCTCCTTTTTTCATGCCCAGCATTCCATCCTCCCAGGCCTTTAGGAATCAGAAAAGGTGAAAACTCATCAGACACAGATCTCCTTATAAGACAAAGTCATGTGCAGGATCATCAGGCTCCACTCAACCATCCATTCAGGTTTAGACAGCACCTCTATAGGCCAAGCTCAAGGCCAAGCTCAACTATCGCCCATTTGTAAAAGCTGACAGATCTGGGGTTGGATGACATATATTTATCTTATATGATGGCAAAAAATGGGAGGAGAAAAGGAACGGCAACACAAGTCATCATTCATTAAGCACAGTTTCCAGGTATTGTCCTAAGTGTTTTACACATATTATTCTGCTTACCATATTTTGATACAAATAATATGCACATTCTACATTTATTTTTGGCCAACCATGCCCCACCCCATATGTTCCTAAGCACACTGTGCTATTTTTTTTTTTTTTTTTTAATGTTGCCCTAAAAAAAATGAGCAAATCGTGCTTACAAAAATATCTCATGGGAAAGAGGGCACAGCTGGCAAAAAAAAAAAAAAAGAATGTACACATTATCTCCTAGTTTTAAAAGGAAAAAACACTGCATCAAGTCGATTCAGACTCACAACCCTATAGGACAGAGTAGAACTGCCCCATAGGGTTTCTAAGGCTGTGAAGACAGGAGCAGACTGTTTTATCTTTCTCCCACAGAGTGACTGTTGAGTTCGAACCACTGAACTTTTGGTTAGCAGACGAACGCTTTCACCACTATACCATGAGAGAGAGGCCTTTATCCCCATTTTACAGATGAGAGAATTGAGGCCTGGGGAAGTTAACTAGCCCAAGAATATACAGTTAGTAAGCTAAGTCAAAATTCACACTAGAGCTCTCTAGTTTCAAGGGCCATGCCCTTAACTGCTATGATCTATAGGAAAATTCTGGGAAAGAAGTCATAGGGGAAATTTTTGGCCACATAGGTGATGCATACTCACAATGCATCAATGTGTCCTGATACTGTGGTACCACACATGTGTAAAATACTCTTTATTTGATAAAATACCCACACAGTTAGTAATGGTAAATTCGCAATTTGAGCCCAGTCCTTGGATTCCAATTCCAGTGCTCCTCCTCCTATGTCCCAGTTATTTCTCACAACGATTGGGAAGCGCTGACTGAAAGTACCCCAGAGAAGGAAAATCAACCTATTACGACACACGTCAGGAAGCAGCAGTTCCACCTCTTCCCCCTATGAGGCTATATCCAACTCACAGTGCCCCTTCCTTGGGTTTCTGAGGCAATATCTCTACAGAAGTAGATTGCCCAGTCTTCCTTCTGAGGAGTGGTTGGTGGGTTTGAACCACCAGCCTTCTGGTTAGCAGTCAAATGCCTTAGGCACTATGCCACTAGAGCTTCTCTATTAGGCTATAGGAAGAATACTTCTCTCAGGGTCACAGGATGAAAAACAAAGGGCAGGGCTAAAGAAATGTATACAACTTCACCATATCATCTTACAGGTAAAAATCTCTCAAATGTAGGTAACATACCACATTTTTTGCCTCCTACTTTCCAACCAAACCTTTCCAGACTTGGAAGGTATAAATAACCAGGTTGGAAAATTCACAAAATTTAACCTAAATTATGTCTACTGCAATTGACACAACTATGTAACCAAACATATAAGCCTTTACCTTGATGACTTTTCCTGATCCTAATTTCAGACGAAGTAGCTTGTCTTTGTTTGCAGTAGAGTCAAAAACCTGCAATTTCATCAGTAAAATAAGTCAACAAATTAGAAAGATTAAAAAAAAAAAGATGATATTCAACTAATCACATACCAGCATAGTACTTCTGGAACAGGACGTGTCAAATATATTGGAAAAAGTGCTCTGAAGGGACCTGAAAAGACAGGACCACATCGTGGTTCAAAAAACCCAAACTCGCTACCACTGAGTTGATTCTGACTCATAACAAGCCCCACTGGGTTTCCAAGGTTGCAAATCATGGAAGTAGATTGCCCAACCTTCCTTCTGCAGAGTGGCTAGTGGGTTTGAACCGCCAATCTTGTGGTTAGCAGTCAAATGCCTTAGGCACTGTGCCACCACAGCTCCTACATCATGGCTAGAGGGTGATGTTATATGGAATATCTCTGAGACAATGGTGTTTCAGATTTAGAAAAAAATTAGTGCACTTCTACCACATTGTATTTAAAAACATTTCTTTAAAAAAAAAAATTATTGTGATTTGGGTGACAGTTTACAGAGCAAATTCATTTTCCATACAGCATTTCACACACATTTTGCTTCATCACATGGACTGCAATTCCCCACAATGTAACAGCTCTCTTTCTACTTCCTCCCTATAGTTACCTCTTTCCTGTGTCCTTCCCTCCCATACACTACCACCTCCTGAGCTATCTCCCATGCAAACATTGCCCTTCTATTCTCCCACAGCTCCAAGGAGTTTATCTACCTGATGTAAATGTTCACTCCATATGTCTGTCTATTGTTTCGTGGAAGCCATAGGAGTGAATTCAGTTCCAGACCTGAACTGTAACTAGGTGCCATAGTCTCAGAGGTCTCACCAGGTTCTGTTAGACCAGTAAACCTGGTCTTCTTTTTACGATTTTGAGTTTTGTTCCACATTATTCTCCCACTCTATCCAGGATCTCCTGCACTGATTCCTTTTTGAGTGGTTGACAGTGGTAGCTGGGCACCACCTAGTTCTTCTGGTCTCATGGTCATATAGGCTGAGGTTCACCTGGTCCACTAGTCTCTTGGACTAATTGTTTCCATGCAACTTTGGTTTTTTCATTCTTCTTTGCTCTGGATGAGGAGAGACTCATCACTGCATCTAGATGACTGCCTACAAGATTTTAAGACCCTAGTTGCTACTCACCAAAGTGGGATGTAGAACAATGTTTTTATGTAGTATGTTATGCCAACTGAGCTTGATGTCCCCTGCAACCATGGTCCCAAGCCCACAGGTCCAACTATTGCTCCTTCAGGGTTGCTGGCTGTGGACAAGAAGCTACCACAACCCTGCTCCTTGTTAGTTAAAAGCATTTCTTATGCATTATATGAGGTGAACATTTGCATTAGGTAGATACACTCATTGGAGAGATCAATTGTGGGAGAAGAGAAGGGCTGTGTATGCACAAGAAGACAGCTCAGGGAGCAGGAGTGCATGGAGGGAATGACACAGGGAAGAGGGAACTATAAGGAGGAGCTGTTGCACTTTGGTAAATTGTAGTCAATGTCATGAGACAAAGTGCCTATGAGCTGCTGAATAGAAAGTGAATTTGCTCTGTAAATTTTCATCCAAACCACAATTTAAAAAAAAAAAAAAGCATTTCTTGTCTATAAAGAATTTCCAAATCAATTATCTCATTTGATGCTGACACTAACTGTCAAATAAGCAGGGTAAAACCATTAACCTCACTTCACAAATGGCAAAGCAAAAACTTAAGAGCTCCAATGAATTGCTGTTCTTGTTGTTGGGTGCCATCAAGTCAGCTCTGACTCATAGCAACCCCATGGACAACAGAACAAAACACTGCCTGGTACTTGCTATCTTCATAATCGTTGCTATGCTTGAGCCCATCATTGCAGCCACTGTGAAAACCCATCTTATTTTGGGTCTTCCCCTTTTTTGCTTATCCTGTATTTCACTAAGCATGATATCCTTCTCCAGAGAATAGTCCCATCTGCCAACATGACCAAGTACAAGAGAGACAAATTCTGGCCATTCTTGCTTATAAGGAGCATTCTGGCTATACTCTCTTCAGAACAGATTTGTTCATTCTTCTAGCAGTCGATGATATATTCAATATTCTTCTCCAAAACCACAATTCAAATACATCAGTTCTTCTGAGGTCTTCCTTATTCAGTGTCCAGCTCTCACATTCCTATGAGGAGACTGAAAATACCATGGCTTGGGTCAGATGCACCTTAGTCTTCAAAGTGACATCTTTGATCTTCAACACTTTAAAGTGGCAGCAGATTTGCCCAGTGCAATGTGACGTCTCATTTCCTGACTGTTGCTTCCATGGGTGTTGACTGTGAATTCAAGGAAAATGCGTTATTTGAAAACTTCAATCTTTTCTCCATTTATTGTGATGTTGCTTACTGGTCTAGTTGTGAGGACTTTTGTTTTCTTTATTGTTGAAGTGCAATCCATACTGAAGGCTGTAGTCTTTGATGCTCATTAGTAAATGCTTCAAGTCATCTTCATTTTCAGCAAGCAAGGCTGTGTCATCTGCATATCTGTTGTTGTCAGGTGCTGTTAAGTCATCTCTGACTCATAGTGACCCTATGCACAGCAGAACGAAACACGGCCCAGTCCTGAGCAAGCTCCACGATACTTGAGTCCATCACTGCTGCTACCATGTCAATCCACCTCAGTGAGGGCCTTCCCCTCTTTTGTCGACCCTCCACCTTACCAAGGGAAGGTAAGGTAATTCCTCCTCCAGGGAACGGTCTCTTCTGACGACATGACCACAGTATGTGAGATGAAGTCTGGCCATTCTTGCCTCCAAGAAACATTCTAGCTGCACTTCCTCCAGGACAAACCTGTTAGTTCTTTTAGCAGTCCATGGTACTTTCAGCGTTCTTTGCCAACACCACAGCTCAAAAGCATCAATTCTTCTTCGGTCTTCCTTATTCACTGTCCAGCTCTCACCTGCATATGAGGCAACTGAAAATATCATGGCTTGCGTCAGGTGCACCTTAGTCCTCAAGGAGACATCTTTGCTCTTCAGCACTTGAAAGAGGTCTTTTGCAGCTGATTTGCCCAGTGATATACATTGACTGATGTCCTGACTGCTGCTTCCATTGGTGTCGATTGTAGTACCAAGCAATGTGAAGTCTTTGACAATTTCAATATTTTCTCCATTTATCATAATGCTGCTTATAGGAGCAGTTGTAAGGATTTTTGTTTCTTTATATTGAGATGTAATTCATACTGCAGACTGTATTCTTCAATCTTCATCAGTAAGTACTTCAAGTCATCCTCACTTTCAGCAAGAAAAGTTGTGTTATCAGCATATCGCAGGTTGTTAATGCTTCTTCCTCCAATCTTAATGCCACATTCTTCTTCATATAGTCCACCTTCTCGGATTATTTGCTCAGCATACAGATTGAATAAGTATGGTGAAAGGACACAACCCTGACGCACTTCCTTCCTGATTTTAAACCATGTAGTGTTCCTTCTTCTGTTTGAATGACAGCCTCCTGGTCTATGTACAGGTTCCTCATGAGCACATATAAGTGTTCTGAAACTCTCATTCTTCCCAATGCTTACAATAATTTTTTATGATCCACACAGTCAAATGCTTTTGCATAGTCAGGTAAACATCTTTCTGGTATTCTTTGCTTTCAGGCAAGATCCATCTGACATTGGTAATGATATCCCTCGATCCATGTCCTCTTCAAAATCCAGCTTGTTTCTGGCAGTTCCTTGTCAATATACTGCTGAAACTGTTTTTCAGCTTGCATCTGATATTAATGATATTGTTTGATAATTTCCACATTCTGTGGGATCACCTTTATTTGGAATGGTACAAATATGGATCTCTTCCAGTTGGTTGGCCAGGTAGATGTGTTCCAAATTTGACTTAATCAAGGTCAAATCAGGATGAAATTGGGACTTGAATCCACATTTTTTAAACTCACAGTCTAAAGCTCTGTCTTTCTATCATACTGCTTCTGAGAGTTTATCAATATTAAAACACAAAAAGCCCAACATACTTACAAAATATGGATAACAATGCAAAGAATGGGAATTCCAGAGCACTTAATTGTGCTCATGAAGAAACTTTACATACACCAAGAAGCTGTAATTCCAATAGAACAAAGAGATATTGCATGGTTTGAATCAGGAAAGGTGTGTGTCAGGGTAGTATCCTTTCACCATACTTTTTCAATCTGTATGCTGAGCAAATCATCCAAGAAGCTGGACCACATGAAGAATGTGGTATCAGGATCTAAGGGAGACTCATCAACAATCTGTTATATGCAGATGGCACAACCTTGCTTGCTGAAAGTGAAAATAACTTGAAGTACTTATTGATGAAGATCAGACTACAGCCTTCAGTATGGATTACACTTAATGTAAGAAAACAAAAGCCCTCACAAATGGACCAATAAGCAATATCACGATAAACAGAGAAAAGATCGAAGCTGTCAAGGATATCATTTTCCTTGGATTCATAATCAACACCCATGGAAGCAGCACTCAAAGAAATCAAGCAACATATTTCACTGGGCAAATCTGCTGCAGAAGACCTCTTTAAAGGTCATAAAACAAAAGAAGTCACTCTGAAGACTAAGGTATGCATCACCCAAGCCATGGTATTTTCAATTGCTCCATATAGTCTGTGGAAGCAATACTGGCAATCTACTTAAAAGTATTTCTTTTAACGATTGACCACCTCAGAAACACAATGAGGGTTGCTAGGAGTCAGAATCGATTCAATGGCAGTGGATTTGGGTTTTTTGGTCATACACAGGTGAAAGCTGGACAATGAATAAGGAAGACTGAAGAAGCATTGATGCTTTTGAATTAAGGTGTTGGTGAAGAATATTGAATATAATATGGACTTCCAGAAGAATGAATAAATGTGTCTTAGAAAATGCACAGCCAGAAATAATCTTGGAAGAGAGGATGGCGAGACTTCATCTCATATACTTTGGACAGGGTTCAAGAGGGGCCAGTCCCTGCAGAAGACATCATACTTGGTAAAAGAAAGGGTCAGCTAAAAAGAGGAAGATCTTCAATGAGATGAATTGACACAGTGGCTGCAGCAATTGGCTCAAGCATAGCAAAGACCGTAACAATGCTGCAGGACCAGTCAGTGTTGTTGTATATAGGTTTCTGTGAGTCGGAAGTGACTCGATGTCACCTAACAATAACAACTATAAGAAAGAGATTAGAGAAACAACTGTGAGAAAGATCTAAAAAGAAGTTTTAAGACCTAATCTCGTAAGAAAATATTCATGTTTACAGCTAGTATATAGATGTAAGAGGAGCTCTAGTGGTATAGTGCCTAAGGCATTTGACTGCTAACCAGAATGCTGGTGGTTCAAACCACCAGCCACTCCTCGGAAGAAAGACTGGGCAATCTTCCGCAGTGATACCACCTTGGAAACCCAAGGAGGGGTCACTATGAGTCAGACCTGACTCGATGGCAGTGAATTTTGAGAGATTTAAGACCAAGGCTTCAAATGGGTTCATTCTGGTTTAACCCTTGCTGAGATTTTCCACATCCACCCCAAGTAAACTGAATCAGAATCTTCAGTTTATCAAGATCCTCAGATGATTCTTATTTATACACCTGAAGCTATTAGAATCACCTGGGATGTATAGTAGCGCTGACAAGGGGCAAGGTTGTGGTCACTGCTTGGTCACAGCCAGCTACCCAGAGGGACCGAGTAGTTGAACCTGCAGGCTTGAGACCATAGTCACAGGGGACATCAAGCTCAAT